TATGTTTGCCTTAGGCAATACTTTGTTTGTTTCGAGGCCCTTTTTGGTACGATACAAAAACAAAATTAAATGTATTTCTCAGAGAGTGATAACTTTAATAAGTCCAGAGGACCAGTGGGGAAGATGAGTGGACAACTGTTAAGTTCGAGCACTGCGTTTAGTAAGGAACCCAAATTAATATTAATTAATGCCTGTCCAAACCTTTTATCTTTCTACATGGGGCAACACTTCACTTCCAATATGGAACCCCTTGTTATTGCGTTTGAGGCCAGGAGAACGCAACCCCTAATTTCTGTTGGCTGTTTTGTGCATTATTGGACGTCCTGTGCAATTAATAAATGAGGTTTCTTGAGATTGTATTTGTATTAACACACATTTGCCTCGCTTTGAGGTGCTTGCTTACGTTTTGCCTCACATTAATGCATTAACTCACGTGGTGATTCGTGTGTCCTCGGCATTCATCTTCCACACTTTTGCTGAGGTCTACTATTCTTTCTTCATAAAGCATTCGTCTTTTAAAAGTTTGCTGAATCTTTGTAAAGCATAGATATTTCAAGAGTTTGCTGAAGGTCAACTATTGGTCTGCGTTTGCTAAATCTTTCAAAGCGTTCATCTTTCAAAAGTTTCGGCGGCCGTTGTGCCACAAAGTAAATCTACCAAGTTGTGTAGCTTGGCAGTCGTTGTGCCACAAAGTAAATATACCAAGATGTGAAGTACAGCAGGGCCATTTCGTCATGATTTGTGATATTTTCAGCACCGGACAAATGAACATTTTAGGTCTGTGTTATTTATTCAGAAAAACTTATAAACAGCCCACAGTAGCTCCACTCAAGTCACTGAAATCAACACACTCGACCAAATTACTGCACTTGTTGAGACGAACCATATGATATCACTAGCCTTCAAGACTTTTTCATAATGATACACAGTTTAACTGGAGGTTTCACTGTAACAAATCCTTACATTTAAAATATGCCATGATAAAATTAATCTATCGCAATAACCATCCACCCCTCCCCCTCAACTGCTACCTGACTGCCTAACAAACATATCCTAGTTATTATTATTATTTATACACCGAACCTGGCTTCCCTGTGGTATACTTTCATCAGGAAACTTGAAAGTCAAGTCAAGTCAAAGGACTTCACTCTACATGTAAGTTCAAGATTGCTCCAAATCTCTCATTTTTATGAAAAAGTTTTATTTTACGAGAAAATTTAAAACAAATCATAGGACAATAAACAGGCAGTTTGAATTTGCGAGAACAAAATCTTATTCTATGATTTGTTTAGACTACGAGTAGTCCCCCATTTTTCCTCAGGGATAGTAGGGCGAGCGAAACGTGAGGGCGCGTGAAAATCACCCCACGCGAGAAAAGGCGACACTATGATTTGTTTTTATAAGAAATCTCAAATTTAGAGTGCTTAGTATATGTTACAGCTGAGAGTCAACATGCACCATTTGCAAAGACGCTAGCAAATGGCTGCGAGTTGTTTTATCTAGAATCATTGCCTCATAATGGTGCAGGTCAACTGACAGCTGAAGCCTGCGAACCGCAGACGTATTTGCGTTCGTGCCCTCTAAAAAACTGGATAGTCTCGCAGGCAAGGTAGATGTATATTAAGCTTGAGTCGAAATAAAAAATAAAAACGAGAAAGCATGCCCATTTAAGCTTACAGTTATAGTATAACAAAATACAGTAGTCAGTAGTAAGTCTATTAAATGGTCTATTCTAATGGCTATCAAGAACCATGTCCCAACCAAAACCATCAGCAGCAGGTGGAACCTACCTTGGATCACCCCAGGGTTAAGGAGACTGATGAGGAGAAAACAAAGAGTTTATAACCTCGCTAAACGGTTGCAAAATCCGCAACATTGGAAGAAATTTAAAGAGAAATTTAAAGGTCAGGAAAGAAGAATTCACCATTTATTGGAAAGAAATTTTGGACCTACATCAAGTCCAAAAGAAAAGACAATGTGGGCATTAGTTCTTTAAATTCTGTAAATACTGAAATAACGAACAACAAAGCTAAAGCAGAAATCCTAAGCAACCAATTCAAGGCAGTCTTCGCAAACAAGGATGCAGACACGATCCCAGATATGGACAGCAGTGGTGTTTCAGATATACACCCACTTGAATTTCAGACCAAGGGCATAGTGTCCCTGCTCAGGAATATCAACACAAAGAAAGCTAGTGGTCCCAATGGCATTTCATGCTGGGTGCTGAAAGAAGCAGCGGAAGAAATTGCCCCATTTCTGCAATTTATATTCAATCAATCATTAACAGCAGGCCAAGTCCCAGGTGACTGGAAATGTGCCAATGTGACCCCAGTGCTTAAAAAAGGCAGTAAGAAAGAAGCCTCCAACTACAGGCCAGTATCTCTTACTTCTGTGCCCTGTAAGATCTTGGAGCATATTATCTTCCATTATATTATGGAATCACTTGGACGCACATCATGTACTTGTCAACTACCAGCATGGATTCGCCGGGGCCACTCATCTGAAAGCCAGCTAATTACAATAGTCGAACACCTAGCCAGAAACTTAGACCATGGCAAACAGACTGATGTATTATTGCTGGACTTCTCCAAGGCATTTGATACGGTCCCACACAAACGTCTCCTCAAGAAATTAGATCACTACGGAATCCGTGGACAACTGATCAAATGGATAGAATCCTGGCTTTGCGGAAGAACTCAGACAGTTGTTGTTAATGGTTCACAGTCTTCTCCAGCGACTGTAACTTCAGGAGTTCCTCCGGGCACCATCCTTTCTTTCCGTACTTTGTGTTGGAGGACAATTTCCCAGTACAAGCCCCCGGGGAGCTTATATTTGGAGGAGCGATTTAACGGAGGGTTTTTTGCGTAACCGGTTTGGGGGGCTTATATTTGGAGGGGCTTATTTTCGGAATTTTACGGTACTTCAGTCAGAAGGAACGCCAAACAAGAAATTACCACCCACTTAAATTTATAAGTGCTGGTTGCAGAACTAATATATATAAATAAGGCTTTTTCCCAGATCCGTTAAAGAATGGAACGAACTTCCCGAAACAATTATTGAAGCTGCCAACACAGAGGCCTTCAAGCTTGCCTTGAGGGCCCAGGCCAGGAATGGATCATCCATTGAGCATTTGAACACTTTTCATTTTTATATCACCAGCACAAATTCACTCCACTGTTTTTTAGCGCACATAGCACGAGCAAAGCACATATCTGCTGAAGATGGGCTGTACTGCCCTTTGCAGATCAGACATTTAGATTTAGATTTAAAACTTACATCGTGTTTTCACGCCAGAACCTCTTCTTCACGTGCATCGCTCTCCGATGATTGAATTCTTGGGTTGTTCCTCGAAAACTCTGGCTCTATCTTTAACTTCAATCAACCGCATAAATGGTCAGGTATTCTTAAGTGCTTTTCTCTCCAGAAAGGTGTGTTTTCCTTTCGAATAAACGAATAAACACGGAGTTGCATCTCCCTCCCCCCATCGCTCACCATCCGCCATATGTGTACAAGAAGGCTCGAAAGAGATAGACTGGTTTCCATACGCTGATTGGATAATCTTGATCACATGGCCTTAGCGCGCGGAAAATGAAAACGAAAAATGAAGCCGCTGTGAAGGTTACCGTGGTGTGCGTGGTGTGCAGCGTTGCAGTTGTGTCCTCGCAAGCGTTTTTATTTCTTCCAATCAAGTACCGTGTCTTCTCCATGTGACTTCCCAACTAGGGGAGGACTGTAGAATGAGTTCCGTTCGTTTCGTTTTCCTGATCCCCTGGATGGCTTTTGTCGCCTGTGTGCATATGAAACACTATACCCTAGGAGTCGCCGCACCCTTCCCCCCTTGGGATTCGCACCAGCAACTCATTGTCAACTTGTCAAATTTTAAAACCAACCTTTTAGCATGTTTAGACTTAGCCTCCCCGCAGACTTCCTTTGGGGCTCGTTTGTCACGCATTCATTTCTCCCCCACGTATATAGCTGTATTGTATAAAGCCTGTTAGTTAATAGCATCCATGTAGTGTGATATTTTTGGTATGACTTGGAACAGCACGGTATTGCATTATATCTATGTATTTTTCAATTTAGTTTACTCTGAACTGTCTAAAAGAGAAAATTTTAAAATAGAGGATACTGTAAAAAGTCTTTTCTTTGGCCTATTGGTTCTGAGTTGCCGGCAAATAGCTACAGAAAATTAAATCAAAATTTTATTTTTGGGATTTTTTGTCAAGTTGTTCTGCCATGGTGTACTTTGGTCTGACGTAACAAAATATTGAGAATTTAAAATTGTTCTATTGTTTTTATAGTTTTTTCTTTAAAAAAGCCTTCAGACTAACCATGATTTTGCTAAATGTGTAGGAAAGAAAGTGTTGTTTACCTGTATTATAGCTTGGAAACATGTGATCTAGTTGAGAACGAGTATTTACCACCTAGTTAATGCTAAACATTCATCTTTATCGATCGCTTTAGGAGTAGCTCAGACTTTTATTTAAAAATGATTGATTTTCTGTTTGCGACATTGTCTTCGACTAAAAAAATCGAAGCACCCAAGGCTGATGTAATCTAAATCAGTACAAGTCCTCAGTTGGACTTGTGACAAGACAGGCCAAGTGAAAACAAAGCTCTCTATTTTCCACCTTTTCTCCATATACATCATTCGTGTAAAAAGAAACAGCGCATTGTTTTAGAAAAAAAACTATTTCAAAGAAACAAGCAGAATTAAATAAATTGAGGCAAAGTGCGTATTTTTAACAATTTTTTTTTATTATGATTATTCTATACACAGGAAAAAATAACGGATTCCCATTTTTGGATATTTTAGGGTATTTAGAGAATACCCAAAAAAATCCCAAATTTGGAAGAGTGAGACAAGTCCCAATCAGGGAACTTTGTTGGGAATTCCCTAGTTGGGACTTGTCTCACTTTGCCAAATTTGGGATTTTTATGGGTATTCTGTAAATATACCCTAAATATCCAAAAATGGGAATCCGTTATTTTTTCCTGTGATATTTTTTCTCTCGAATCGTTTTCATGATCAGGTGCGCACGTGCGTGGCGACAGTCAAGCACGTAGTCAAGCAGCTCTCACCTTTTGCTGTTCTGGACCATTACCTGCTTTTCTGTAGTTAATGATTTATTTATAAGGTGATCTGCCTGAACCCTTGCGCATTAGGCAAGTGAGTTTGAAAAAAAATCCCAGCAAGAAAATCTACTTGTCCTGGAGGAATGGACAGGCCTTTTTTCGAATCCTGCTCCCCAAACAGATAGACGTACCCATCAGTCTTGTCCACAGGATACCCATCAACTGGCCCCACTAATGTCATGGTCATTTCCTGATACTCACTTCCTCCAGACATGCATTGTAAAAGTTAAACAGGCTTCACAAATTTTGCTTGCACAAATATTCTTGGAACATCAATTCCTTCTTTTTTATTGACAGTTCTCCTGTAAGCATAATCATTTTCCAGTGTTTGAAATCCAGCTTGGTGAAATAATGTCTCAACAAGATCTGTAAATTCCAGGGAAAATTTCATATCAATAAGGACAGCACAGCTGTCGCTAAGATATCAGGTTGCTGGCTATATGCAATAAGTTGACAGGGAATTGACCAGGGAGGGGAGTACCGCCATATACAGGCTATATACTAGGTATGTGTAGTAGTGAAGGGTATGGTTTTTCAAGCTGACTGCCACTTGGTTTGCTCAGTTGAAAGAGGGCTGGTTTGTTGAGCAAGAGATTGCCGATTTAAACCCTGGTCAGACCAACACTCAGGATCTTTAAAATGACTGAGAAGAAAATGCTGCCTTTTTAATGGCATCTGGAAACAGTTAGACTTTCTAGTCTTCTCGGATAAGGACGAAAAACCATAGGTCCCATCTCACAGCACTTTTACTAAACTGGTTCCTGTGGGATGTAAAAGTACCCACACCACTGTTCAAAAAGAGTAGGGGACCTAGATCCTGGTGGTGTGGTCAACCTTTACTAGGCTGGGTGGGTTTTCTGTAAGGAGAGATCTTAATATAGGGCTGACCTCATCATCCTCCTTCAGGTGTCATAATGGCTAGCTGTAAACAGTGTATGTCTGTATCTGACTGTTTAGTCTGGGACAGGGTATAGAAATCAAAGAGTTGGGGTCTAGAATAGAGTATCATTTTCCAGGAAACTGGTCAACGGGTTGATTAGTCTAGGGAAACCAGAAATAAACACTCAACAATATAAAATATATTGCCAAACCTAAATTTACCCCCAACTCAATTTAATAGCAAAGAAAGTGTCCACCTCCGTAGTGTCTTAAAAATAGCGACTCCATGATAGGACAGGGTTTTGGAAATTTAGTCAAAGGATATGGTAACAATGTTCACATGAACTACCAGTAGGTCTGGTATAGGCTATACGTTCTGAGGTCCCAGTAGTACATCCCCACCAAACAATATTGAAAGTATCTACAATGAACAGCCAAGAGGCTGTTTTGGCTCCATTTTCATTTTGTTTTCTATAAAAGTAGCTGGGGGTAGACTATCTGGGGAAAATCCCTGCCCTCCAACCTTAAATGACAACCCTGGGACAGGTGAAGAATAATTCTAATAATAATTATTATTATTAGACTCTGGGTTATTGATGGATGCATTTCCAAAATTTTGGAATTTTGGAATTTTGGAATTTTGTCTCAGCAACCACAGTGTACGGGCCATAAGAAAATATTATCCAAGTGATGACAAACCATTCTAAGCAAAATTTATGATAATTTCTTGCTTATTAATTTTTTAATTACACTGCTAGTAATCTGCTAGTTGGGTGCAAGACAGTTCATAGTCATCTCATAACCAACACATGCACACTTATTGGCTATTTACTAGAAAAGCAAATATGTAAAATAATAACTGTGCAAATAAACACAATTAACTTTTTTCCTGTAATTAATGTACTGAAGCCTACCTTTTGAAAAGTAGTATGCTCTAGTCCCATCTTGCCTGACGTAAAAATTATCTGACAGTTTATTTCTAGGATTAAATCTCAGCATGGCGTGATCATAAAGGCCATAATCACGAAAAAAAAGCAATCCCCCTGGCTTGAGAATCTGATAGAAACACAAAACCATGAAATCCTGAGTATTTTGTTCTCATCTCAAACAAATAAATACATTAAATAGGTCCAACAGTATATGCCAGTGACAGATCTGGGGAAGGGTGCCCCCCTCCTTGTCCTTAAGTTTTAGACCAATCAAATCAAGGCTTGCAGGGCCAAAACATTACATTCCAGAGTGTCCCCCTAATCTCAAGGGCCTGGAATAGCAGCCCCACCCCATACCTGAAAGTCTTGAATCACCACTGTACTCCACAACAAAAGAAGAAGTAACAAAGGGATAGTGAAAAACATTTTGATGCTAATTTGCCATTCAAATCAAAATTTATGATGATTTTTTGAGTAACTTTGACCATCTAAGAGAATGGACATTTGAGAGCGTTTAGAAAAGACAGATAAGAAGCTTTTCAAGGTATGTTCAGTGGATCCCAATTGCCCGCTCAGTAACATCATTTTGAAGAAGAAAGAAACAAAGTATCTACTCAGAAACAAAACTGCTCATCACCCGAATATAAAGACCGATACATTTAAGAATGTTTTTGCAAATAGGCTTATTTTTAGATACAATCTTTGATCTTTCTATTATTTGTATACAGTATGTCTTATGTATTTTTATCTCTTGTAACTTAAGATATGTCCTTTTATCTTAGGAGAATAAAGATTGATTGATTAATTGATTGATTGATTGTTGATGGGCCAGATTGGACTAACTATTTAGGGGTGCTGTGCCAATTATATTCCTTGACCGCACACAGGTTCTGAATAAAATCAACTGAGTCTATAAATTCCTCAGCACCAGTTCTTACAATCTTCATGAGTATACACATACTAGAATCACGTAGAGAAAAGCAGTCTACTGTGTCACTACAAGTTAAATGAGAAAGTGCTGTAAGGCCATCATTTACACACGTACACGTTTTAACGAGAACTTTGATGCTCCTGGGTTTTACGTGTCTGAATAAAGGATTTGATTTGATTTGATTTGGAAAAACAACACTTTAACAAAATGTAGGTTTAAAACTCAGTCACCAAGCCCTTAAAGGATACACTGTACATGTATTTATTTGGAACATGTTTTTAGACCTCACAGGTATTCTGAAAATCCTGACTAATTGTCACCAGTTTGGTTTTAGTCTCCTATTAATATGAAAGAAGCATGGTTAATGGGAGCATAAGGGATGATGGGAAGCCTCCTTTCTGTCACCAGTCACACTCCCTTTGGTCATGCTTCAAGCAACCCGTCCCCCATGTGTGATCAAAACAGGGATGACCAAAGACAAAACAGCTGAAAATCTGTCTGTTAAGAAAAATGAATTAACTAGGCAAAAATACACACAAACCTGTATGATATTTTGAAGGACAGCCAACATTTTGTCAGGATGAACAGCGGAAAGCACAAAGACTAAAGTTGCAATGTCCACACTACATTCTGGTACATGTGAGAGTAGATTATCACTTGTTAAATCGCACTGAAAAGCATTCACTTTATCTTCACTGAAGGCAGCATGTTCCTTTGAGATACCAGATTAATAGTTTATTATAAAATAAATATTACTAATTATTTTTGCCATGTTTCAAATTGGTCAAAAATATTAAAATATACAAATTTTGTTTTTGTTCTGTTCTCTGAAATTACCTCATAATTTATTTATTTGTGGACAGTGTCTAAACAATTTTAGTGGGCAAAAGAAATATACACGGTACCATGGTTTAAACTCAAGAATTAAAAATCCAGTCCCCAGTCTTGAGGATGGAGACATGGAAGACTGCCAACATACTTTTAAGCATCACTATATCTCATGTCTGATTAGCTTCTCCCTTGTGACACAGTAACATTCCAGAATTGTTTTTGGTGAAACAGTTGTTTTTTGTGGTTTCTTTGCATGTGCTGGTCTCTACAGTGACTGTAGCCTGCCAGCAAGCTCTCTGGGGGCACTCTGGCAGCTGGGCGGGAAAAGGAAGGAGAGCTTGCAACTGCATCTCTGGAATTTGAATATATTCGGGAGAGCTTGCTAACTGGTCTTACAGTTTTCTGAGTTTGAGATTATCAGTCAAGAGAATTTAAACTTACTTTTACAAACTGAACAGCCCGTTGCGAGAAGTCGCATGCATGAATAAAGACATTTGGAATTTCCTCCAACAGTGGATAGCAAAGATTCCCTACACCACATCCTGCTTCAAGTAAAACTCTCTGATGACCTGTCTTGGTTCAAAACATACAGTCTTGATAGTTAAAAAATAACAAACAGATAATAGTGGCTTTTTTTATAAATAACATTACTGTGAAGCTTTAAACTAATCCATTTTTCAGTGACCCACCATGGGGTGCTCTGGATTTCAAGTGCTGGGAGTGATCAAAGGATTTTTTTAGGTTGGAAATTTTCGATTCCGGGATTTTTTAGGGTTGGAAAATTTGGCAAGTATTTATTTGGGTAGCTTGATTTAATTAGGGTTTTTTTGGGTTATTCAAAACAATCTGAAAAAACACACTATGAATCCTGCTAGTTACACATGCTGGACTTGTTGTGGTGGGAGAGTTGAAACTGTTCACTAGCTCACTTTGGCTTCAAGGACTGGAGAGTCCTTCGGCTTTCACTGGCATTTAAAGTAAATACATGCACATGGCCACGGTTTAAAATGGCTGGTGTATATGTCATACCTGCCAATGCTCCCGGTTTTCCCAGGAGTCTCCAAGTTTTTCATCAAGGCTCCTGGTCTCCCGGTTAGAGCACCAAATCTCCTGGGAAATACCTACCATGGCCTTTTTCAAAATTTTTTTCATTAATTTCATTATTTTCAAGATGTCAAAAGGAAAATAAAACAAGAAGTGGATTTAGAGCTCTTATTTGAGCTGTTCTCGATACAGAGAAATTAAATTGATACATATTTAACAAGTTTCATAATTGGTCAGAAATCAACCAATCAAATTGCACAATATATGGTAGAAAGTTGGTACGGTTTTTGCACACTGTTATCGATGTCGGGAACATTCAGAAGGCCTTTGGGTGATTTTTAGAGAGTATTCAGACATTGTCGAAAATGACATTCTTACAATACAAAGATTTCTAGACGTCTCCAGATTTTTGTACTCCGGGGATTGGCAGGTATGATATGTTAAATAAATGGTACAACATACTTAAGCTTAAAATTGAGTGCCTTTTGATGTAGTTCTGCTCTGACTGTATGAAAAAAAAAATTAAGATGGGTCGGATTTCGGGGTACTTTTCTTTTTTCAACAGCTAATAACTAGAAGATGAAGATAGCTAGAAACCCGCACTTACTTCATTGTCCGACTTTTCACACAAGCTTAAAAGTTCTTCAAACTCTGCAGTTGTCCAGTGTCGGTCTTTAAAAAAGTTGGTCGCATTTCTCTTGTAAAATAGATCCCAGTTCTTCTGAGCTTCTTTTTCTAGTTTTTTCTGCCTGAATTCTGACACAATTTTGCTGTTGTCTGCGAGTTTTTTCTTGCCTTCTTCGGAAAGAGCAGAAAAAGTCATCTCATCCGCCATTAGTGATAGTGGTAGGTACTTCATATATGATGAACCACAAAAATTACCCAGGAGTCTACCGGAAATTAGCATCCCATAAAACTTTGCGCGCGTTTACTACTTCCACCGTGAAAGGAGAGTCAAAATGTCGGAGGAAAACAAGGTAATTTTCAATTACTTTGGTCACTAGAGACGTATTTTTACCATTTTGGGATTTTCTTGTCTCATTTTAAGATTGTCGACATTGATATTCTTTTCAGGAGGTGAAACCCGAATCGGAGCACATCAACTTAAAGGTTATGGCCCAGGTATAACACATTTGATCGTTTGCATTTATGTCATTCATGCCCATTTCATGGAAAGCGCCTATTTTATGTCGTGTACGAAAACAAAATTTTAAGCAGTTATTCCTCTGTGTTTAGCGGACGATTTATTCTTTAACTTTCAATAATCATTCCTTCGATTTTCGCGTAAAAAGAAGGATATCAAATTCAAGGTTCGACAACAGATCGAATCGCGAAGGGTTCTTAACTATCACTTCGGTTGGCTCAGTGAAGTGGTTCCTCTTTCGAAATCCTCCCATCTCGTAGAATCAGCCTATTGTCTTGCAGCTCTCTATAATTTTGGCTGATTCGTGTCGCTAAGGTATGCATTTTACAACCATGTTTTGTTGACTTTCGTGCTAGGAAATGGCGGGAAACATTTCCACGTGCTCTATGTAGCTGCATCGTAAACCCGACAATTTTGCTTATGGCTCGTACGCAATGCAAGCTCATATTTAAAACGGATTTGAACTGTCATTGATTGCCGATGTCTTTTTTATCGACAGGACAACACAGAAGTACATTTCAAGATTAAGAAAACGACACAACTAAGAAAACTAAAACAAGCCTTTTGTGATCGCCAGGTAACGCGATGCTTAGTTTAGTGTTGAAGCATAAACTGATGTTGTTCACGATGTTTTTCACGCAATTGTCACATGATAGCAGAGCAGGTTTTACTCTTAAGTCTTGCCTTGTGTTTCCAGAGGTTAAGCGAAAAATTTAGGTTGCTGTTTTTGACTTTGAATACATCGTGTATTCCATGGGGTGCTGACCAAAAATAACGAACTGGTCAAAGGTTAGAGTTTATCCATTTTATACAGGGTAGATGCCTTATATTCACAGCTAAATTTCTGTCTTTTTGTTAAGAATCATGATGTAGAGAAAACACCGTAATGATCATCGTTTTCCTGGCCCCAGATGGTCAAACATTGGATAGAGTTATACATGTTTCGGACAACTTGAGCCTTCCGGTAGTCTAAGGTTGTTTACCATTTACCACAAATTCCGGGAAATTCCTGTTGGAATGTAAATGGTTTTTGGTTCATCCCACTGGAAAATCCCCGGGACAAACAAAAATTCTGAAAAGGTAGTCCTGTTTTCCTTAGGACATTCTGAATGGAAATTTTTTTACCATTTACAAGTTTCTTGAGTTTCATACTAATTTCATGTTGTAACTAGAATCCAGTCTAGCGCGGCGCGACAATTGGGAAATTTTAGGCAAATGGTAAACGACATGTACTGTTCTTACTGACAGAAAATTCCCAACCAAAATTTCCCTTTTTTTTTTTAAAGTGGTAAATAACCTTATTGCAAAGGCCTAGGCAAGTCTGTTGTAACTACATTAGTAAACTAAGGCAAGCATGCAACTGCCCAGGACAAACAAAGTGGATAGAAATAACTCAAGATTTTTCAAGCAGTTCCTGTTTTTTTCCTCTGCATTTATTTTAAAGGGTGTTGCACTCAACTCGCTTCGATTCCTCTTTGATGGACAAAGAATTAATGACGACCAGACGCCGAAAGATGTAAGTTTCTATTTACACGTAGTCAATTTGATGTTTTGGTAGCCCCCTTACACTTCATCTTAAGTGTAGTGTGACTGTGTTCCTTCCAAACACTTTACAGGGCACTCTCTTGAACCACGAACACTTCAACATTTTGTCTGGAATTTCTGGTGATAAACCAATCAGCTTTCCTCATAAAAACCAAAAGAATCAAAATTTTTTAGGCAGCAACCAATCTGTGAGGTTGCGCTGAGACATGTTTCAACTTTTCATGCATGTAAGTCATCTTCTAGGATTAAAATAAATGCATGAGCCTCATTATGAGGTGAATCTGTGATTGGACTATGTAAAAAAAGCAAAAATTTGTTATTCCTGTTAAGTGACTGTCCAAACTGCAATAGATTTGGGAGCAGAAAAAAGTTGTACATTGTGACGAGTGAAATAGAAGTCATAGCGTAAAACACTACCATAAGCCTTATCCAACCAAGACTATTTCTTATCATTGGCTTGATTAAAAAATCACTTTTATTCATGAAAAAAAAGACCAAACAAAACAACCAAGAGTACAAAAACAGAGAACCAAAATGTTTTGCAAAGAGGTGAGGCTTATAGGTGAGTTTTACAGTGTAAAACAGATGTTGAGGTTTGGGCACTTCCGGTCACGAAGTTAAAAATAATTATGTTCACTTTTATCAGTTAAGTGAAAAATCTGTCGTTTTTGCCTTTTAGCTTGAAATGGAAGATGATGATGTTATTGAAGTCTATCAAGAGCAGACAGGAGGCCAATGAATTTTACAGCGACATCCCAACATTAACTCTGCCTGTTACGTTCTCCTTCCTTAGAAGTACAAATACCACCAAAGTTCCTGTTGTGTTCAGATTCTAGATTCAATATACCATATGCAGCAATTCATTGATTTTAGAATGAAGTCTTTGCAGAAAACAGGGCATTTTTAGTTAGTTATTATTGCTACTAAAGTAATGTATAAAGGATTTAGTGGATTTTGTGCGTAATTTTTTGCCTTATCTTTTGTTCAGTCAGTTGATTTTTCTTGCATTAATTCGTCTGTAAAGGAAACATTGCTTGTAAAGTCCAGCTTAGACATTAAAAGTGTACTTTTAGTGAAGGGTTTCATTTCTTATTCTTGATGAACATTATGAATTGCACCTTCAAGGTTTGCCAACAGGCTGGGTAAACAAACCTCTACTGTTAACACTTGTTATTTTTTTCCTTTTCTTAAGAAAACATAGATAACTTAGAACTTTTGTTGTTTGCAAATAAGAGGATTTATACAAATTTGGGCACGTGATAAAGCTAAAGGCACCCACCCTTCTCATGTTAGTAGCCTACCACACCATAATAGACTCTTGCTAACATGATGACAACAATTGTCAATTAATATTTTTGTTATTATATACATCTTGTCAGTAGTAACTGATGCAGAACAGCAACATTCAAGATTCAAAGGGTGTTCAAGGCTCTATTTGATTGACCTTATATACAGAAAAATTTAAAATATTCATTCAATTCACATACTATTCCTACCCAGATTCCTACCCTGGAATAACAGGAATTTAAATTATTTTGGAAAGGTTCTACACCAGTGAGCAGAAGCCTTGTTTAAAAAAAAAAAAAGAACAGAATAATGGCATTTTCCTCAAGACAACAAAGAATGGTGGGTGTCATCAGAGACAAATGGCACTTTAACAGAATAGCACTCCATATTAAAAGGCTTCATATTAAATTAGGGATATATAACATAAAGAAAAGCACAGGTGGGCCCGTACGCCTATGAATAAAAACCAATTCTTCCGTAGCTTACTTGCACATTTTAAGTATTTTGCAAACAAACTGTCATGTACAGTACATGTGTATAACAATAAATTTCCCCCATCAAACCTTGTGTCATTCCTTTTATAAAAAGAAAAATATTCTTGTGCCAATAATGCAACATTGGTTGTAGACCCTGTACATGCAAAAAAAACTACACAAATTTGTCTTTGTTTTTGTTTATTCGTTTTGAATTGTTTTGTTTGTTTTTTCAATTTAAACATGTCCGGTCTAATAATCCAGATTGTATTCCTATTTAAGTTTAAGGTCAATTGAATGCACCCTAGAATATTTCGTCTATTTTTTATAACCATATTATTAGTCTCTGGTTGCATTTTCCCTTATTCTCTTGTGTATAAACAGAAGTTATTGCATGTGTCAGTGAAAACTCCTCTCTTAATGCAGTGTTGTCCAGAAGCTCTGGTGAATGGCTAAAGTCGCCTTTTAGTGGACACAGAGGCAGCAGTTAGCCATAGAAAATATTTTTTAAGTGGAACAATAATATCATTCGATGCAAATTCTTCTTCCTTTTCATTGGTGGAGAGCCCACCATGTGACCAGCAAATAACTGTCTACAAAATAATGGTCTGCTCACGCACAATATCATCCAACTGTGTTTGGCTGCAAATTAATAATATTCTGCTGATGCGTAAATGAAACCACACTTTTCACCTTCTTGCGATTGCTATTGTATGAAAATAGCAAAATGGCAGATGCTCATTAAAAAACAAACTTGGTTACCAAATGGTGAATCAATAATTGAACTTGCTTATCACAAAACCTCATCCAATAATAATTATTGTAATTATTCCAGGGTATTTCATTTCATCCTTATTGTTTGGTTGATGCAAATGTGGTTAAATAAAGGACTCATCCTTATGGCTTAAGGCAAAAATGTCTTTCCCTGGTTGCTTCTGGTCCTCCTCCTCTTGGTCACTGAAAATGCACTTTACAGAAACCCCAATATAAAGATTTTCCCAGGAGAGGCCCTTGGACTACTCTAACAAAAAGACGGGAGCCCTTTCCCATACCTACCCCTGTAGACATTTCCCCATGTAAAAGATGTGACCTTAGCTTTAAAAAACCTGGTAACACCAGAAAAAGGTTCCCTTTAAATTTCCTGAAAATAATTACCCATAAATCCACCGAACAACACAGGAAATTGTGAGGGAGACTGAAATTATTAAAATTTTAATTGAGGGACTGCACCGCTAGGAGAGGCATTGTTAAACCAAAGAAACTTATTTACAACAGTGGTGTTTATTCTGAAAAAAATGAAAGGTAACTTGAAAAAGTGCACTAAATAATATTGTTTGTCTTTGAAGCTGTATCTTTCAGTTAATTTAACATAACACAGCTTCCCACAGCACTTTCACAACAGCGAATTGATGGCCACTGTCAGGTAGTCTACTTGAACATGGTCTAAAATACTGTTAAACTCAAATGACAGGTTGTATATACACATAGAGTTTTACATGAAAATCTCAGCATAATACAATATCTTGTTTGCATAAAATCCTTTTTTTTAAGGAAAAAAATCAGAAATTAAAATAAACTGTGTTCGTTCTCCTGTTCTTCCTCAAGAAAAACCTTTTTATGAGGTCAGAGAAGACATTTTTACACAGTCTGAAATTAAAATACATATTTTTTCTCCCTATTAGTTTTCCTTTAAAACAACTATCTCATGAACTGACAAAATGCTGTGAAAACCATTTCCATGAATTTTGCTGTTTGGTTAAGAATCCCAAGAAAAAATTGGTTCCTGAAAAAAAAAATGAAATCTGTGTCACAACAAAAACAAAGTACACCAAAAATAGTTCCTAGTTTTGGACCAAATGAGAAGCTGGAAACTGTTAAAAATGTCTTTATTCATATTTTTGTACGCAGTGATACTGCAAACATATTATTTATTGAAAGAAAAATATTGGCAAGGCAGGGCTCAAACTAATTTTGAATTGTGGCCAGTCATGTTGACCGGCCAAACAAGTTATAGCTTGGCCAAGGCTCATTTCTGAACTGGTCAAAATGTTGAAAAATAGCAATAAAATTTAATTATAAAACATTAATTATTGCCAATCACAAAGCCACGGAATGAGATTATCAGATGGCATCTCATTGGCATTCTCCAAATTTATACCTGCAAGCAACTAAAACATTTTATGACTAAATTGTTTTTATAATTATTAAATTTACAGCATTATTGAGTAAATTTATAGCCCCAATGCAAAAATGGCTGCTAGATTAACATTCTTTTGTTTGAATTTAAATCAGCCTAACTAGTCTCGTTCTCCAGTACAAAATTCAAAAGAATACATTATCTCAAGTGAGGCTAGTTAGGCTAATTTTAATTTAAACAAAAGAATATTAATCCAGCAGCCATTTTTGCATTGGGTGTATTTTTCCTGGTATTTATTTGAAAGCCACATGCCTGACTGGTCAAAATGACTGGCCAACTGCAGTGTTCTCCCTAAATTTTAGCTCAGCAGGTTGGGGATCATTAAGAGCCAGTAAGGCAAAAAATATGCACCACAGAGGTGCACTTTCCCAGGGGGAGGGGGGTAGTTGAGTGCAGGACATGACCCTTCCCTTAATGGGAAATTTAGGGGCCAAAGGTACCTCTTTAATTTTTGCAAACCTTCAGGCCCTTGCCGGCGGTAACAAGTGTTGCTTTAGGCAGTAAATTTTACCTGTTACCGTCTAACACACTGCAACTGGAAGTTAAGTATACAAAAGTCCAAAACTCCGAGCAAAAATTAAGAAAATGAAACTACCTACCAGCAAGTTTACAAATCTCTCTTGAGGAAATCATAAAATTCCAAAAATAAGCCCCTCCATGTATAAGCCTCCCAAACTCATAACACAAAAAACCCTCCGTTAAATCACCCCTCTAAATATAATCCCCCTGGGGGGTTGTACTTGGAAATGGCCCTCAAATACAAAGTAAAACAAAGCAAAAACAGTTCCTTCCAACTATAAGGTTAGCCCAATCGATTTTCAAACGCAAATTTCCCTCCGTAGTTAAGCCCCTCCAAATATAAGCCCCTCCAAAAAAAAAAACCTAAAAAAGGGCCTTTGAAAACTATAAAACCGGGGGCTTATTTTCAGAATGTAACTTCAGGGTTCATACCCTTTTTTGAACAAATAATTCAAGGACTTTCAAGGGAACATTTCCCATTTTTCAAGGACTCAGTACGGTGCAAAAAAGAGCCTCCGCGAGTCTATGTCTTTTTTAGTTCTTCAACGACATGAGCAATTTTAATATCCTGAACGTCTTTCTGTGTTTGCTGGGTTGAATAAAGTTAGCACCGAAATTCAAGGACTTTCCAGCACCTACTGCAAATTTCAAGGACTTTCAAGGCCTTGATTTTTATTTTAAAATTCAAGGACTTTCAAGGTGAATGCCCACCCTGTAACTTTTCTCTTATGCAACCTGTCAATTCACGAGGCTGATGAAGTTCAGGGATTTGGACGAAATATTTGTTTCGTTTTCTTAAATTTTGCTCTGAGTTTTGGGATTTTCTTTACTAAAATTAATGTGTTTGCTACCCTGTGAGCAGAGGCCCTAAGAGCTCACCCTTTCTAGAAATATCCTTTCCTTTTTCCACGAGTTTTTCCACGACCTCTTCCAGGCTTTACTTTTCCTTTTCTTTCAATAAGTTCTCTTTTATCCAGACTAAACCAAGGAACTTCAAATTCCCTACAAGTGAAAAGACAAGTCACTCACAACACTTGGCTGCCATTGTTCAAGTTGAAGGGCAAGTTCAGACACTACATGTACAATTCCCCTGACTAAACCCTAATGCCTTAATTAAGGAAATTAGAACACAAAACTTAGTTTTGAAGTAAATTTGCCGCAGTACAAGAGACCATACAGATATTCAAACAGGATTTCCCCTGGCTACTATGAACTTGATCCCCGGCTACTACTGCTATAGGAAAATAGAAGAAAAATAGAAGCAAAAGATTTCCCTAGCTGATTGATTGAACCCCACTTCTTGTCGTAATTACCCAGCAACTTGAAATCTTAGTGATAGCCCTGTTCAAATCTAATATTTTGGGTGCCAGCCCAGTAAATCCATGGTTTATGCATTAACCAAGGTTTATATATCAAATTTAGGGACACAACAAAATGACAAAAAAGAAAGAAAGAATAAACTAGCAGTAATCATGGATAAGTAAGTGTGCTAATTGAATTTTTGTCATTAAGATTGCTGATAACTGTCAAAAAAGTGGAGGACTTTGCACAAATTTGCAGTAGATTATGTGGAGGCAGTCTGTCTACACATGTACCTAGCAGTCGTATTTTATCAAAGACTTGAGCGGTCAAATTGTCATGGATTTACAAGAGAGTATTTTCTGAACTAACCATAGCTGAGAGAAAGTGTTAAGCTTATGCTTTCAGCTTTATCCACGTAAGTCAATGCAAGCGCACTCATACACCAACTTACATACAAGTGTACATATTGAGAAGCAAATCAAACATAATATAAGAAGTTACTTTGCTCTGTGGCAGTCTATTGAACTTACCTACTGTGGAAAAGTGGGACAGGAAATCCAAAAGCAACAACAGGAACAGTATCAGATACCTCCACTGCCATCACTGCAACACAAGTAAATACCTGTGTTAGCACATGCTGTAAAATCTCCAGCAACAACAACTTATTATAGCATGAATTAGAAAAGTAGAAAATTATTATATACCCATAAGTAGTAATAGCTAATCGAGGCGGGTAGTTAGAACAAGATATATAGTACCATTAATACATGAACAGTTTTAGCGATACCAAAAGTGAAAAACTGAGCCAACTTTCATGCGTCCAATGTCCTTGAATGCATGCACTAACAAACCAAAAATAACGTTCCTGATCAAACAAAGTTATTTGACAAGGACACTTATCCAATAACTAACTTAATCTTAGCATACCTTCTTCCGGACATGGAAGAAAAGACTCAACACTCTTTTCACAGTCGCTTTTACATCCAGTTCTTTTCCCCTTCAATCTTGCTTCCTCACGATCTCTGCTTTTCTTTTCGAGATTTTGATGAGCTTGAATTGCCCGCATATGTTGAATGTCCCACCTAAAATGGAAAAGTAAATAAATCCTTACCAACTATATTGGCCATTAAACACTGCAAATAATTTCATCAATATCAGCCTCACTCCCGGCCCAGTTATTCAACAAGTTTGGATGTAACATCACCCATCAAGTTTGTTCAAAGGCAGAATTCACCTAGCACCCCTGGCATGCAATGGAAATCCAAAATGGCAGTGCTGTTTGACTTACCATTCTGTAAGGAAGAAAAATGGCCCCTCAATTTACTAATACTACAGTCAAACACCCTACATATTTTATTATCTTGACCAAACAAAAATCGTTGATTTTTGTGAAGAACCTGTGGCTTTTGCCATTTTTGCCAAGTCTTGGGCTTACATGTTTGGTTCCAAGCTTCCTCTACTCACTTGCATAGTGACAAGTCTGCATCAAGACAGTGGAAGCTCTCCAACCGACACTCTCGTAAGTGGAAAGCTCTACTAATGGCCACCTTCACAAACCAAGGTTTTTCTCAACTCCCATACAAACTCTGTATTTTTACATTCCCGTAAGCGGACAGTCCCAGTTATGGACACCTTTTTCATAGTATAAAATAATTTCCAATTAACACAAAGTGTTACCTTTTTCTTCTTTTCTCTTCAAGTTCTTGTTTCATGTGCCGCTTCGCAAACACTTCATCATCAACAACCTGTTAACCAGAAAACATTGAAGATACAGGTAACTCAACTTAATTCCATTCTAGTATTAAAAAGTGACCCCCACAGAAAGGTTTCCTGTTATGCCCAACTGTGGCAATTATGTTAGAAGAGAAGTTGTTAATACCTTGCAAATGTGACATACCTGTTGAGGGGCTAGTAAGAAACTATTGGAGTTGTGCAATAAAATAATATTTATTCTGAATTACTTATTTTTGATCAAGGAGATCAAAAGAAAACAAATTGGGCATTTTTTAAGCTGCAAAATAACCCTCAGAAGAAGGAATTTGGAAGAGAGCATTCACAACGAAAACCACTGACCACAACTACTACATGTGTCAGACGTAGAGTGTCAAATTGATCACTTTGCTTGCTTTTCAGCATACTTTTTGTCTTTTCCGAAAGAAAATACATTTCAAAATCTTGAAGAAAACTTATGAACTATAAACTGGAAAACAGAATTCCCTCACTTTTCACTGACTTTGACAATATCAAAGATTTTCCCTGACACTTAAAAAATTCCCTGACTTTTCCTTGACCGTGGCAACCCTGGCCTGTTTGAAGTTCAATATGTAACCCTTTCGAGGCTATGCCCTGGCAGCGCCCAGTGGCCCCTAACTCCTGCTCCTGGGTGACCACAAAATCTTAGCTTTTTCATAGAAATCTTTCACTGGGCACCCTGGATTTCACAGGTTCAGAGCGCTGGGCTTACAGATAGCTGGCTGCCCACTATTTCACCAGCTGAAATAGAGCTTACCACCAGCTCTAACTGCAAACGAAAACAAAGGCATATGGAAATTTAAAAGATGCAGTTGAGTAAAAAAGCCAGCTTGCCTAATACAAAAGCCTGCTTATCGTTTCCTTAGCTACATCCCTGTGAGCCCCTTTCTATTTTTCTCTTAGCACAGCCTTGCTTATCATACCTCTACATTCTCATGGCAGGTCGCTGCAGCTGATGTTTTTATTGACTTTGGTTTGACTGTCACAGACGGGGCAATTTCATTGATCTGCCAAGTTGGCACTGAAATATGAGGTTGAAAGGGATTCAATAATTATTTGTTTGAATCACAGTTTGATTTAGAATGTTCTCAATCAATTTTAATTTCAGGTGTTTATTATAACTATAAATAAATATTATGGTGGATCATTGGTCAGTATCTCTGTTAAGCAAACTTGTGTTGTTTGAAAAACGTAGATGCAAAAGGTCACCAAACAGTATCAGGCTTAAAATGTTAACTTAAACAAGCATACTTTTGTTAACAAAATAATCTGATAATGTTTTTCTGGTACATAGCCATGCTTAGATGCCAAAATTGATGGTAAAATTTTTTACACCAAGCGGGGTCAATAAATGCTAGCATGTTTAACATGCACGAACTATTTTGAATGCTTCAGAGTTACTTAAAATCATCACAAAATTGGCTCAAAATAGCTCGAAAATTGAAGTAGGTTTGAGTGTAGTAACTGACTGTATAAATAAGGGACTGCTATTCCCCTACTTCTAGGGGGTGGGGATTTGGGGGCAGGCTCCCCCACAAAAGTTTGAAATTTTGAAATTTTAAAATGTGATTTGCAGCACAACTAGACACGTTTTCCATTCAAGACTAGAAACTGTAGCCTTTTTTTTTATTCAGGTTTCAATTTATCAGCCATACAATCAACTACGATCCTTCAAGCAATGAACAAATGACTAGAATTAAATTCCATACATTTTTTGACCTTCTGTGCATATTGAGACCCCTAAACAACATATGAAAGTACAGGATACAAGAGTATAAAGTTTTTACTTAATTTAATGGATGGTTTTTAGGATTTTTGGATTTAAGCAACTTAGCAACTGCTACAGCATAAACTACATCACCTTGTACATGACTTTGGCTCTTCTCGGCAACGGACTTTACAGGAATCTTCTTGGAAAGTTCAACTGAGTCATTGTGAAGATAAAGCATCTCAGTTCTCAAATGAGTATCATAGCTAATGTCTTCACACATGTGTGATGTCATGGTTACAGATGCAGTGGCTGGAACTCGCTTGGCTCGCACCATTTGCTCCACAGATAGACGGCGACTGTCACATTTGAAAACAAAGCAGATATTATTATTAATATTATTATAGAACAATATTATTTAACATGCAAATCCTTATGCAAATACCATTTACTGCTGTACTGAATTAAATCCAAAGCAGATATTGTATTTTTTCTATACCCTACCTGGATGATTAAAAAAATTATAATGGTCAAATACCTATGTATTATTTTACACTAGCTTATGCTTTTCTTTGAAGTGTGGAAAAATTTTCCATACCTTAAAATACCTAAGACATTTTAAGTGAGCACTTATCTGCTGTCCCCCACCTGACCCCTCCTCACACTGCACTGTGCTGCTCAAGTTTCATAAAATTAAGAAACGTTTTGTAGGCTATCTTTACCTTTTAGGAGTTGCTGGTTTTAATTGTCTTTCTTCAAGGAGGTCATCATAGCCTTCACTTGCATCCCTTCTTTTCTTTACAGCCATTCTTCTCTCCAATCGGTGCATCCGAGATTCCAACTACATCAAACATGGAGAGAATTAACATACACTGAACTGGGGCAATTTGGGGTTATGCTGACATTTTCAAACTATTACAAAGTCAAAGCAGGATAAGTGTTCCCTTTGCTACTGTTTTTTTGAAAAACGACACTTTCCACTTGTCAACCTCAGAATTTTGTTTTTTCTTCCTTTTTTCAACAAGTCAAGTGAGGGCGAGTTCCTAAGTTCAAACCCAAACAAACTGTTACATGTACGCTATTTGGCTGCCAGTGATAAGTGCAACAGACCTGACTTCTTAGAAAACATGATGGTCAAACTGAGGTCAGTGTACGTGCAGTGATTGGTGGATTTCGATCCTTGGCCTTAATCAGTTTTTTTGCATTTGCGGTCTGTCTATTCTAGCTGTTATTTTGATTAAAGGCAATGAAAACGCAAACATAAACGGTATGAAAAGGGAAGCAAATATGATTGAACACAACAGACAAGAATAAAGAACAGGTAGATTTTGTTCATAAACCAAATCAACACTAAATTTATTATTGAATCGAGGTCCAATTTGACTATAGGAATATTCATTTTATGAATCGATGGATTATTGAATCAACAAACCGAATCATTTTTCCCTTCACGAATTTATTAGTCCACTAGCAACAGGAACGCTTGACATGCTTTGACTGTAATGAAAAACTGAGAATAGATGCCATGTCAAATTACACAAAAACAGTGACATTTATTGGAGATCTTTTTAATCTATTGGAAATAGCAAAAACAGAGAGAAAAAGAAAAAAGTAGGGTCTCCAAGGCCTAGTTCAGATGTTGCATTGTGTCAAATCTGATACAAGTAAATCACAAAACTTTATTTTACATGAAAGTCGATAATTTACAAGTACAGACTACCTGTAAATAGCAAAGCTATTTGAAGCAGGTAGTATGGAGCAAGAACCATGGATTTTCTTCATTAGGGATAAATACTGAGTAGATTTTCTATCCATCAGAAGAAAATGTAATCAACACTTATTTCTTTAAAAATAACAGTAGAACTAACAGAGAATATCAGTGGGAGGGGGGTACTGAAAGGAAGTTTGGGTGGGGGTGCGCCACCAAAGCTTTCAAGCCCTACCCTGCTTAAGACAAGTCAAAATCTGTCTATTTTACCACATTCGTTAAGACAAAAGACCTGCTTTATATAGCTCAAATTTAACATTTTCTTATTTCTTTGATTTGGAGTCAAGGAGCTTTTCACTGTTCAAGGCATCTAGTCCAGAAAGATACCCCGTTCAAGACACTTAATAGTGACATTGTATACCTTGTTTAAGAGTAAAGACCTTGAAAACCGTACACTGTTTGGTGACACATACCTGTCTAGGCCTAAAAGGGAGTACCCCGCCCCCTCATTCCAGAGGCATATTAAGACTGATCACAAGATACAAACACTGATTGATGTTAGTGTAAGAAATAGTTTAAGAATGTTTGTTTTGCTTTTTCTACTCCTTGTTTATACTGTTACTGTTGCTTTTGTTTGTGTTTTTTGTTTTTCATTATCAACAAGGAAAACAAAAATGACAAATGATTTTGCCTTTATCTGACTGCCCTAATTTCTACAGGCGATGCACTTGATTATAGTGGCTTTTAACAAGAATCCTTAAGGGAGACTAAAATCCTTCACTGATCCTTTGAATTTGCTGGTATAATGTACTAAAGAGGGACAAGTCAGGCTTAAATCTAACCATTGATAACACATTTTTCTTTCTTTTTGAGAAGAGAGGGGAGAAAAAGAACATCAAACCTAATCTTCAACCAATAAAACAGAACTGTTCCCAATGCATTGTGTCTGGACCAATCAGAAAGAGATCCACATTACACATGATCTGGTTGATAAATGTATCATAGCCTCCTTCCCACAACAGACATAAAAGAGATATAGGGAGAGCATGCATGATCCCAGGCTAACTTAAATCTGACATTAGGTTCTAGTGTGAACTCTTCTACAGAGCCCAGTAAGTGCCATGAAAAATTTGTGCTTGATTTTTCCTTTCTTGACTTTTTTCTTGCCTTTAAGTTTTTATCCCAAACTTTTTCTCAACTCTTTTCTCAACTTTTTTTCTCAACTTATTTCTCTACTTTTTTTCTCAAAATTTTCCCGACTTTTTGCTTGATTTTTTTCCCTACTGATCACAAGAGAAAAAGAAGGAGAAAGGAAAAATCAAGTACAAAATTTGCTTGGCACTTACTGGGCTCCATACCCTTCCAATGTATGTTTGTCAGTTTGTAAGCTACAAATTTAAAAGCAACATTCATTAAAAGACACCTCATTTTAAAAGTCCATTTTTTACAGTTACAGGTGGAAACTACATTATTTTGTAAATCATGTCGTCCTTGTGCTAACAGGCATTTTTTAAGCATAATTTCCATAAGAAAAGGAAAGAGGTTTGTATCAAGACAAGGTCAACCTCAGCCTTACGCCTACTCAAAGGCTCACAACTGTAAAATAAAGATCTCTTGTTGACGAAACTGAATCCTATTCACATTTATGGGACTGTCATAACATGCAATTCTTGCCTTGATGGCAAAAATTTATCAAGAACTCACAATATAATTATATGCCATTTGATTATGTACTACTCACTAACCGAGAGTGAGGTCATTACAAGGAAATCTCAGACCGAGACCTTGATTCAGTTCAAAGCTCTGAGCACTTCAAAGAAGTTAAAAAATAGGCAAGGGAAAGTAAATCACTGCCTTGTTATGGCTTTAACTGTTACAAAATCATGGAAAGAATTTGGGGAAGTTTTTAATTTTGGATGAAATGTTGAAAATTGTCTTTTTGTATCCACTTGGATTCTGGTTTTTGGTCTGCAAATGTTTACAAGACTTCTCAAACATAAATACACCCCAAAATAAAGAGAGGGAGTTTAAAATCGCCATTTGGTAAAATACGAATACATTAGAACGTAATTTATGCCATGTGATCAATAATAGGCGCCATGTTTGAATTTTCAAGGGTGCCGCCGCTGACCTCTCAGAATTAAATTAATGCGTCTCTGTCCGAGTGTTTTCATGCAACAGGGAAAATATTACCCTTGAAGAAAGTAAAACTTAAAACTCCCGAAGCCATGAAGATGGCCCTAACCCTTCCCGTACCTGTTCTTTGTCCAATTTAAGCTGATTAATCTCCTTATCTTTTTTCTGTATTTCTTCTTGCTGCTGTTGAATGAGTTCTAAGTGCAGCAGTAAAAGCTGACGTAAGTGAGCTGCTTGGCTCGCGTCGGTTTTGTGGTTGGAATAATCGTTACTGACTTCTGCCTCCGGTAACTTCGATAACGGAATACTGCCGGTTTCTTGAGGCTCTTCCTTCTGTATGTCGATGTTGCTGTTGGTATTTTTCACAGCAGTGGACGATTTCGAGCGCAAGACCCGCGTAAATTGCCGTTCGGATCGGGCGCTCGAGGAGGATGTCGGCGGTTTGTTTCCAACAAAAGGCACGTCAGATTTCACTTGAGTTTGATCCATGTTTCCACCTGAGGGTAAATCCGTAGACATAACCATCTGGTAAATTTTGGCCCACGTTCTCTCGAACACTGCTCTAAAACTGTTACGTCTCATCCGCGATTCCGTTCAATCGCGGCCATGACGGCCGCTTACAGACTTATCCATGTGACATCAACATGGTGAATAACATGAATGTGAGGCGATTTGGGTCTCTCGGGAAATGTTCGTTTCCGGTCGACCTAAAACTGCTTCTCAATTCTCCTCCGAAAAAGAGATAAACGTTTGGTCTTTCGACGCTTTCGATTTCGAAGGCAACAAGCTGACGAAATGGCTGCGAACCTCACTGCTTACGGCATATGAAATCTGTGCAATCGCTTCGGGGTGGGGTGGGGAGACTCGGGCTTTGTGCCTGGGTTGACACATTAAACGTTTTGGCTTGAAAGAAAAAGGGAAGGGAGGCAAGATGTAAAAAGGGACACAACTTTTTTATGCCCAAAACCTTAGTAGAAGGGAAGTTAGATGTTGCATGCTCGTGCTCTGAGCCTAGAGAGAGGTGAAAAAACTGAGGAGGGAGGGGTGAATGGAGGCTCTTATGAACGAGCCAAGGCGAGAAACAAGAAAAAAAGGAGCGAAAAAATGTACACAAAGCGCGAAAACCACAAACGATTAAAATTCACATTAAGAAATTAGGATCCAAGGACGTACAGTAGAATCCGGTTCATACGGTCACCAATGGGCCAAAAAAAATTTGGCTGTATTAACGGGTGACCTTATTAACGAGGGTTTTTAACAAGAAAATGTATGGCCGTTTTGCCAGGCAGCCAAAAAAATGGTGGCTGTAATAACGAGGTGACCGTATTACCGAGGTGGCCGTAAGGCGGGGTTCCACTGTTTTTTTTTTCTTTTTTTTTTTGCGGTAGGTCACGCTATCTGAATTAGCCCGCAGGCGGGATTAAATATGGTCACATCATCAACTGATTTGTCTGCATGTCTTGTTGCGCCTCGAAAGTCCCGAAACTGTGCGGGGGTTTCTGTCCTGGGGGGGTACTCCCCTATATCGCTTATACGGGTATGTGAAATCGCCACTGGAGAGTTTTTTTTAACCTCTGTCCTAAACAGGGTCAGTTCCTGACAGGGTATAAATTTGTGCGGGTCTATCCTAATTATAAACAGGATGAAATTTGCTTGTACTGTAAGTATACAAAGCCACTGACTACGTCAATTTGCTCTATTGCAATTGCCAATAAATGACTCTAAAACAAGAGAGCGCGCATCTTGTCCTTTATCCCAGGTAATAAAATGGAGCCGGTGTTATCCAAAATATAAATAGGACTTTTTGTCTTTAACAGGGTCAGGGTTTCAAACCCTCATCGTCTCACTCATACCCAAATATTGGTCGAGAACCCCTCGGGCCGGGGTCTCCATACGGAATATATTGTTTCTAAGGAATCTACAGGTCCCCCTTCAGGAAAAAATAATAATTTCCCGGGAAAGTTAGTTTGTTACATCTTCCTGAATTTGTATCTGCTTCGCTTTCAAAACTGACAATTTTTTTGCTCTTGTTTCACTCTGCCATAGACTTGCCAACAAGTCGAGCTCAAATTTTTTCACGACCGCGAAGCGCGAGCGGTAGATTTTTTATGTTTTCGGCGGCAGAGCTGGGGACAACTACCGGAACCGGAAATGAGAAGCGACCCATTCCCCTACCCGGGGAATGGACAGTAAATTTTATTTGAAGGTCAGCGGCACAAATGAGCGGAAGTCCACCTATCGCTGACTGTCCCCATCGCTGTCACCATAACTATGCTGTCACCCATCGCTAATTTTTCCGCTTTGTCTTGATTGCAATTTGGTGTCTTTGGTGGGAGTGTATTTGCGAAATAATCGTCGACGACAGTTCTCTTCGGTACACATTTTCATTGAAAGAAAACAAGAACCACTGTACAAAGCAATTTACGCCAATCGTCGTCCACAGAGGAAAGTTATTTTGATTTCAGTCACGTAGAAGACTTGAACTCAAGACAACTGGAAAGGTGAAGGTCTTTCATTTTACAAAACCCGATACGACGCGTTCCGTGCAGCTTAAAGCGCTTGCAAATGCCCTGCACTTAATTCTACGCGGACAGACGAGCAATTTTATAGAAGCAAGAGTTTAAGAGCTGAATGAAAACTATATTAATGTGTCGATCGCTTCAGCTTTGCAGCCAATGTATTATTGCAACCTGCTTTTATAAATGTGTGGTCGCTGGTTTACGTAGTTCAACTTGATAACTTTGATTGGTAATTCAAATCTTTCATCGAGGGATCCTAGGTCACTGACAAAAATCAACTTTCTTCTTTCCATCTTTTACTTAAGACTTAATTTCATCTCAAGTTAATACATTATAGAGCTGGAAGGTTTGGAAAATAAAACAATGTTTAAATGATAGGTTTCAATAGGCTCATAGTGATCCCGAACAATAAGAGCTAGGGGTTGCACGAGATGTAATTTGCTGATTTTGGTAACACTTAGAATGCTCAGGATGGAACACCAATGTTTTATTTCCATGGACAAGTAATGGCCAAGTTCACATGACACAAGGCATCTCCCAGAATTGGTACAAAATATTTATTCACCATTTTGACATTGCCATTTGCATATCAGTTTTCTACCTTTTGGGGTAGGGGGGAGGGGGTGTATGTGCCACTCAACAGGGTACAGTTTTCACCTTTTTGACTCTGGAAAAAAGTGTGAAAATCACCCTTCATCTCTGGAAGAGGGGGAAATGTTACTTCAGCATGACTCCAGAACAAAAATTATTCAATTTTTTTGCATAATGTTATCCCTGACTATTCTGATTAAGCTTTGATGCAAAACTATGCTGCCTTCATCACCCAAGTTAGTTCTTCTTGCATAAGATATAATATGTGCTTTTTTCCCTTATTGCCTGAAAAAGGTTTTCTATTGTCTGGAGTAGGGGGATAACTTCAGATCTCTTTTTGTCTGGATAAGAGTCTAGAGGCCTAAAGTCTCAGCACCCCTCCGCCCCCCCTCCCCCACTTCATATTAAATTTCAGAGAATGCCCCTATGGGACATTACAGTCTTCCCACAAAAACTTGAAAACAGTGCTTATGTAATATTTAATTTGGTGGACAAGCGTCACTGGTGTGTTATGGGTAATGTGAAAGTAATGAATCATTATTCCATGCTTTTCCTCTATGATAGCTATTATAATTCCATTTCCCAGTGTGTCGTAAAATGTGCGTCTTAAAATGCCTGTCTCCAATAGATTTTGTTTAATATAGGTAGTTTGTACGTATTATGCATTTCTTTGCTGTAAAAAAAGCTGCTGTTGCTGATGCTGTATTCCTTTTAATAGTGTTCTATACCCTGGAGGCATTTTTTCTTTTTCTTTTCTTTTTTTTTTTTTACAAAAGTCCACTTGTTTTACAGATAGGGTAGTTGTCTACGATGAAAAAAATATATAGCAACGCTTCACCTTCCAGCCTGAGAAAACAGCTAGTATTTCGTGACGCTACCATTGGTTTCCCCTGGAAATGTCAAACAAGTGGTGGCGTTGCAAAATGCAGGCAGATTTCTCAGGCTACCAATCCCAGTCCCTCCCATAGTATATGTTATTATCATGGCTGAATATAATTTCTTTCTCAGTTTTTTTAAACAGATTCATTGTACAATCCACTGAGTTTGACTTGGTAGGATCCCAGCAACATAGTCACTGTCGTGATAAATGCCAAGATGTCAGAAATCGTGGAGTGTATATCCTGGATTGTTTCAAAGACCTGTTGGAGTTTGGGAGTATTTGCACTTTTTGTTGCTAAACGGATGGCTGACTTGTTTGGATTAATATTTAACATCCTTGCATGTCTGACCATTGTGCGGCTGCCGTGCATGTGCATGCAATTCAGCAACATGGACTCGTGGTGGGACTGGAGGGTAAACGGCTTTGTTCATTTTGCATTTTTCCTAATAGACATCCCATTTATTCTGATGGGTTTGTTTATGATTTTCATAACCTGCGGGCTTATTCTCATTCCATTCTTCAATGACATGAAACAGGAAAATATTTCATTTAGCACTCTGAAAGGACCCGACCATGGAATATATTGTTTGAGTGCATTTCAGCTTCATTTATTAGTTGGCTTATATTTTTTCCGCTTTATCTGTGATGTCCTGTGCATACCATTGGCAGTCATTTGTGTGCTCTCTTGGAGAAGCTGCATTTTTATTAACAAACTCGGAAAGAAGAACTATTCCTGGAGTGACTGGGGATGGAGAAAGCTCTGTGTTGTGCAATGTCTGCAACTTCTGCTCGACATTCCTTGCATTTTTATTGGCTTCATGGTCATGATCACTTGGCGTGCCCCATTTCTGATCAAAAGAGTCAAAGAACGAAGAGGTGAAGATGATGAAAAATGGAACCAGTGGAGGTTTGAAGTTTTTCCAGAATTCTTTTACATTTTTGTTGACTTAGTTTGCATAATCTGCCTGCTTTTAACTATGTTAACATGGAGAGCACCTCTTCTGATCAACAAACTGCGCCATGCACCAAAAAAGCAATGGAAGATACGAGAAATCATGGTCACCCAACTGTTGTTGGTATTCGTTGACCTACCATGTATTTTTTGTGCCTTGATTGTGTTTATTACTGTATGGAGAATTCCAAACTTTATCAGAAACTGGGAAAATAATGAATGGAAAATTCGAGCCAATTGTATTTGTCAAGTGGGAATGCTCTTCATTGACTTTGGCTGTTTATTACTCAGTTTTATTGTCATTTTAACCCTTTGGAGACTCTATCCATTAATTTGCGACATAAGAAAATACTGGTCAAGACCAAAACAAGAAAGGTCATGGAAAATACGAAAATCTATATGCAAGAATGTCGCATTCCTATTTGTTGACATACCAGCCATTTTTCTTTGCTTCATCATTTTAGTAACAGTTTTTCGCTTCCCAAAGCTGCTGTCCAAACTTTTTCAAGCTGGTAATTTCTTCATGGAGTTTGCTATTACAGTATTCTTTGAATTTGCCATGTTGGTTGTGGATATCTTCTTCGTGTTTTTGTTTTTGGTGTTAATGTGCCTGAGGCCAATCGAGAGCTGGGTTCATCTTCTTGAAGATGAGGAGCATAAAAAGAACCGCCTTATGAAACATTACATTCAGTGGGTCCCTGACATCATTGACAAGCGCTTCAAAGTGCGAAGAGAAATGGAAGGAATTTTCTCCACGTGCTTGAAAAATAATTTGGGAGAACGTAAGCTTCGAGAACACCTGATCGAAGTCAGTGACGACTACTTGGATGAACTAGAATGGATTCGGCAGAAAATTAAGAAATATGAGCTTGATGAAGGATTCAGTCACTTGATTAATATGGCAAAGTGGTGGGAGAAAAAGCGTATCAATAAACTAGTGCGACTGTATAGATGCGAGATGAATTTTTTGGCCCGCCCCAACATTTCCATCCACAATTCCAACCTATCCAAATACAGAAACGAGATGATCCTGTTTGAGAGTCACGTGACTATGCAGTATCGCGAAATTGAAAAATACGCCATTCCAAAAGTACCGCTGTGGACTAAGGAATGCGGGCTCAAGACGCGAACGCGCAAAGAAACTCAGCAAGTTTTGGTCAAGTGTCTTCCCAGCGGGCGGTTCGTGATTTCAGTGCTGATACTGCTGAACCTGATTTTGATTTACCGCGGTCCCAGCTTATTGAAGAACCTCTGTCGCCGGTGGTACGATCGCAAGAAAATAGTCTTTGACTCCTGCAAAGAATACCTTTATGATTTCATCACCGTTTGCAGAATCTTACTGGTAATCGTCTTTCTGTACCGTGCGCCTTTCTTAATCACCGACATCACCAGGGACATATTTTTTAAACAGAGCTGGCGAGCCGTGCGGGAAACAGTGAAGAGGTACCCCGCCTTAATTTTAGAAGACATCGTTGACCTCATAAGGTGCATCTTTAGCTGGGAAAGCGTGCGTTTTCTGTTTACAGCGCTTCTGTTTGGTCTTCTAATGCCCGCGGATCTGTTCTTAACGATCATGAAATTTATATTTTCCAAGAATTGCGCATATTTCCTCACAGCCGTCTTGTACATAATCTTCTTGGCGTTTCCCTTTCTTCTTCCATTTTATATCAGTGGGAAACTTGATCCAAACCTTGTCACTATTGTCATCGGGGTCTTCGCGTTCGTCCTCCTGTTGGCTTTGATCGGCATGGTGGTGGTTTTACTCAAGAAAGAGGCTTTGCTCAACAGAAGGGATGATGCCTCTATCAGAAGGGATGGTGCCTCTATCAGAAGGGATGGTGCCTCTATCAGAAGGGATGGTGCGCGTAACAGAAGAGATGAACCGGGACTGTTAATCAAGCCTACCCCTTATGATTACATCCGCTTTAACTGGACAAACATTCACGTGATCGCAATGGAAGTCGTTGAATTTTTGCAGTTGCTGGCGCTGGTATTTGCTGTAAGTGACATTCCCATGTTGGGTGCTAAGACCTTAAACACTGCGTCCCAGTACTTGTTACTTAATTTTGCCTCGTTCGATGTGAAGCTTTGGCTTTCGTTCATTATATTCGTTATCTGGTTCTTCTGTTGTGGTGCCCCCGTGATTCTTGAGAACGTTTTGGAGTATCTACCCAAGGGATCATGCGCAAAGCATGTTGGATGGACTCTATTTCTGTCCTTATTCGCCAACACCTTATTTGTGACAATTGTGGAGAGTTTTTTGACATTTGTTGCATGCAAGACACGAGACTGTCCCATAATCAACGTCACGGTGACCACCAGTGCAAGTCAAAATAGCTGCTTTCCCGCCGTCCTCTACGAAGACGAGACTATAGAATGCTGGGAAGGAAATCACAGAGCAATCGCCTTTCTTGGCCTGCTGGGATTGGTTTGGTACTCCACTACAGCTATCATATTCGGAACCAAATACGGTGATGTGACTCATCCGAGTCAGGATCTTGAATTTTCCCCTGTCTACAACATCTTTTTGAATTTTGCCAAAGCAGTGATGGTAGGAGTAGTTGTTTTGGCCATGGCTAAGCCCTATGTTGTGTTGTCTTTCCTAGTCTTGGCTAACCTGGCTGCAATAATTTTTACCCTGGCTTTCAGAAAAATATTTCACTTTGATCTTTCTAATTCCTTTGTTTTGATTATTTGGCGCACTGTAACCTTCATCTGTGCTTGCGTCGCTGCGGTTTCTGCCGTTGTGGCCAAACAAAGGAATGATCCCGACTCTTTTGTTCCTCTTGGGATTTTTCTCGGCGGGTGTGGCGTGGTTATTATTATCGCTCTGATTGTGTCAATTGTCTTGAGAAAGCCAAGAACTCCTGTGGAAAATCAAAGAAGGATGTTTCGTCACGACTTGCTGGCGCTTGAAGCCAAACTTGTGAAAGAAAATTTCATGATCAATTCTTGGACAAAAAGCCGCGAGCAGTGGAAAAGACTGGTCAAAAATGTGTATGAAGCACAAAAGAATGACCGTGGGGTATCCCCTTCGGTCTGGTCACACCTTGAAATTTCACCTCCGCCACCACCCCAAGAGGAAAGACGCATACCAGACGCAGAGCCGAGTACATCAGCTCCTCTTCCCCCTCCACCGGCGTATGATGATTTGTTTCCTAACATTATGGGACCCTATGGTATTCCACCTCCACCCTATACCACAGAGAGCGATGACGTTTCTATAGGAATAGCTGAAACTGCGCAAGCGCCCGCACCTCCTCTCCCCCAGGCCAAAAGAAAACAGCCTAAAGAACAACCGGCTATTTCTGAGGACAACTCGACGAAGATATCAGTCACAGATGACGCGAGTAGCCTGGACTCTATGGAACAAGTGCCTGAAGTTTCGTTGCCTCTCCCGCCATACCCATTGGAATATCGGGTGAGAATAAGATATACCTTACGTAGCTTACATAGCGTATGAGATATAGGTTAAACATAAAAGATGCGACCTGAGACAAGAGCGAGGAAAAAAGTGAATAATATACTTTGATGAAAGCACAGGTAATCCAAGCTCTATGAGTCCGTTGACCTTTGTAACGTAATCTCTGAGCACCGTGATGACATTTCACAACAACGAAAATGTAAGGATTTGCATGGGGAAATGACATGGGATTTTCATGGTAAAGTTATGCTCAACTTTACCATCATTATTTTTCAATAAATATCGCTTACCTTGAGTCCTTTCTTTGTCTTTTTGTGTTTTCTACCGGTGTAACAGCGGTTGGAACTGAATCCTCGTGAAATGGCTCTAGATCGACCCGAAACCAGCCGAAATGTCATCTTGGCACTAAGAGATTACGGAGACTCGTAGAGCTTGGGCTACCTGTGCTGAAAGAAGTGATAAATCAGGTTGCAGCAAATTGCGTGAATTACTGACTTCTGATTGTACACAATTACGCGGGAGTCACGCCATACATGGGCGTTACTTCACGTGCTGCAAAACTAGTTTGCGCTGGTCCGGTAAAACTCGCAACATGTACAGATTTTGTTGCAAAAAGTAGAACTATTCGCTACATTCTGCAAAAACTTTTCGCAAACTGCAACAACCTGATTTGTTGGAAGACATGTTTGATATTTGGGTGGTAAAACTCGCAACTTCGCCATTCACCTTGTTTAGCAGCAATGTTGAAAAACAATTTGAACGTTTTTGCTACCCGTCTTACCGATCCTTCACTTTTTGTAACGGCTGGCCCAATAATGCTGAGGTCAAACGCAAAAGTTGAAATTCAGTAGTGCAGGCCCGGATAATTAAATGTTCAACAAAGCCAAAAAACTGGGTTTTTCCTACCTTTTTTAGCGTCACTCTAGACTACTAAATTTCAATACAAAGGCGAAGTTTTGTGGCAGGTAAGGCGGAGGACGAACAATAAGTTCGCAGCTACAGGAAGCACACACTGAATAGCAGGCCACATATCTACATCTACAACT